CTGGCTCCTACCTGGATAGGTGTTCTGGGAGAGGCCTCTCTTCGCCGTCCACGGCTCCTGCCCGCGCTCCAGCTGGCAGATGAGCTCCGGTCTGGGGACGGGACACCCTGGTCATGGAGAAAGAAAGAAGCCACTGGGATTTTTGGGAAAACAAATTAAACCTCTCAGTCTAGTCTGTAAAGAAGACCTTAGAATAAAGCTCCTTCCATCCACACAAAACGCTAACATGCAAACCCAGAAACCAAAAGCAGGCCATACTGCCAGGGAGATTTCTTTCCCTCACAGTAAGTCAAAAACCAATATATAGAGTTTAATCATAAATGTCAAAATATAAAGCGTAATCACAGATAAACATAACCATAAGGGGCTGTGTCAAGCATCTCAAATGCATTATGTCATTTCAAAACTGAAATAAATTTACGGAGTAATTGAAACAACTGACATATTTAAAATATTGACTTATTCGTTTAAAACAAGCTATTTGTCTTCATTGATCTAGGTCTTTTTCTAAATCCTAAGCAAGGTTTTGTATTGTTCTTCCTATAGGCCATGGACCAAATGAGGATTCTATCTCAGGATTTCCTCACAGCATTCTCAGCAAGTACAAATTGCAACCAGCACCACTTTGTAGATGAAGAAACTAACGCTCAGGCAAATCATGGGATTTGCCAGAGCGCACAGACCTGGTGATTGGCTGGGCCAAAACGGACACCCAAGTCCAGCCATATCCGCTCTCTATGCCGTTTTACCACAAAGTTACACAACACCGTTCCGGAAGTGCTGAGTCCCCGTGTGAGGATGATGAGGATCACAACGAGAGATATGACACTGTCAGAGGGGTTCTTAACTGCTAACCTGCACACCACCTGCTCACACCAGGCATTGTTCTGAGCTCTGTTCAAAAGTTACCCATTCATCCTTGCTACAGTCTGGGGAAGTACATACTTGAGTAACTGGGGAAGTATATACATGTTACCAGCGAGCACACCCAGGTGCAGTGATGTGCCTGCAGCCACAGCTTTAAGGGGCAGAGCTAGGATTGAACATCAGGGGTCTGGTTCTGGGCCTCTGTCTCCTAAACACGACACTAAGGAGGAAACGGCAACACCCTTGTGTGTGGCCAGCAGCCCCAGACCAAGTGGGGGGTGGAGGTGAGGTCGTCCTCAGAGAACTGGGGCCAAGGGAAGGACAGACTCAGGGACTCTAGACTTCAACATTACATGAACTACTCAAAAATAATAAAACTGAAAATCCTATGCAGTGATACTATTACATATGACCTTTACAGAAACATCAAATATCATACACTGTCATCGACATTAAACACAAAAAGGATTTTTACTACAGAAAACAACAACAACAACAACAAAAAATGGAGAACAGCTCAAAAATCAACTACTGGGACCCCATCAAAATAAAAAGCTTCTGCACAGTGAAGGAAACAATCAGCAAAACTAAAGGGCAACTGACAGAATGGGAGAAGATATTTGCAAATGACATAACAGATAAAGGGTTAGTATCCAAAATCTATAAAGAACTTATCAAACTCAACACCCGAAAAACAAATAATCCAGGGAAGAAATGGGCAAAAGACATGTATAGACACTTCTCCAAGGAAGACATCCAGGTGGCCAACCGACACATGAAAAAATGCTCAACATCACTCATCATCAGGGAAACACAAATCAAAACCACCATGAGACACCACCTCACAACTGTCAGAATGACTAACATTAACAACTCAGGCAACAACAGATGTGGCGAGGATGCAGAGAAAGAGGATCTCTTTTGCATTGTTGGTGGGAATACAAACTGGTGCCGCCACTCTGGAAAACAGTATGGCGGTTCCTCAAAAAACTAAAAATAGAACTACCCTATGACCCAGCAATTGCACTACTAGGCATTTATCCACGGGATCCAGGTGTGCCGTTTTGAAGGTACACATGCACCCCCATATTTATAGCAGCACTATCAACAATAGCCAAAGTATGGAAAGAGCCCAAATGTCCATCGATGGATGAATGGATAAAGAAGATGTGGTGTGTACATATATATATATACACACACACACACACACACACACACATAAACACACACACACACACACACAATGGAGTATTACTCGGCTATCAAAAAGAATGAAATCTTGACATTTGCAACTACATGGATGGAACTGGAGGGTATTATGCTAAGCGAAATTAGTCAAAGAAAGACAAATATCGTATGACTTCGCTCGTATGAGGACTTTAAGACACACAACAGATGAACATAAGGGAAAGGAAGCAAAAATAATATAAAAAAAAGGAGGGGGGCAAAAACATAAGAGACTCATAAATATGGAGAACAAACTGAGGGCTACTGGAGGGGTTGTGGGAGGGGAGATGGGCTAAATCGGTAAGGGGCATTAAGGAATCTACTCCTGAAATCGTTGCACTATATGCTAACTAATTTGGATGTAAATTTTAAGAAATTAAAAAAAAAATAGACAACAGCTTCATAAAATGAAGTTCGTTCCAGACTGAGTAAATTAAGCTGTCTGAGGGACTCATTGTAGTGGCCAAGACTTCCGGAGGACTGCGATGCCATGAGATTGTGTGGGTGAAGCAGGAACAGTGCCTGGGACAGCGCTCCAAGGACCTGAACAGGCTGTGACTATTATTATTCACTTTTCCTAAAAGTGACCCACTTTTTATTTTGCTTAGATTCCTTCAACAAGGGAATCTGTATCACTCTAGTAAGTGGGAAACCGGAGTCACTGGCCTTGAAGGCAGGTCACCCTGAAGACGCAGCAATGAAACCAAAACCATCTTAATTCCCAGTGAGCTCATGCTGCCTACTCGAGGCTGCATGCTCACTCTGTTGAAAAGGGAAATGAGTTTGGGGCGCCTGGGTGGCGCAGTCGGTTAAGCGTCCGACTTCAGCCAGGTCACGATCTCGCGGTCCGTGGGTTCGCG